TGAATAACAGTGGTCCTCTGTGCACGGGGACTTAACTAGTCATATCATCAATATAGGCTTTCGTTGTTTTACCTGTTTGCTCTTCGAACATCCTGTCAATTGGATGTTGGTACGTAGCTTCGCGGACTGAGGCCTTCCTTTTTGCTTCACTGATTTACACCTAGGATCGATGCTCAGCCTATGTGTGCTGATTTTCGGCGGAATCCCTGTCATATCTAAATGGGACCAAGCAATGCAATCCACATTATCAATAAGAAACTAAATGAGTTTTTTCCTGGGTTCGGGAGTTAGTCCCATTCCCAGGTGTACCTTTCTCTTGAGCGGTTGACTTGGTAGCATCGGACTCCTTGGGGACAACGAAGATTCGAGGAGCAAGGAAGTTCCCTTCTTCACCTTCGGCTACCTGCTATTCCGCTTCCGTCGGGGCTTGGAGCTGTGATTGCTACTTTGCCGCCTGCTTACCTTTGGAGCTCGATTTCTCCGAGGTCAAGGGTTCTGGTATCGGCACCACTTCCTCGATTGCAAACATCTCTTTTGCGGCATGTTGTTCTCCGTGGACTATTTTCACTCCTTCCTCCGTCGAGAATTTAATCATCTGGTGGAGAGTCGAAGGCACTACCCTCATGTTGTGTATCCATGGTCTCCCGAGGAGTGCGTTATACCTCATGTCACCTTCGATGACATGGAACCTGGTGTCTTGTATGGTCCCGGCTATGTTTACTGGCAAGATAATCTCTCCTTTTGTTGTTTCGCTCGCCATGTTAAAGCCATTCAGCACCCGAGATGCGGGTACAATCTGATCTTGCAGGCTAAGTTGTTCCATGACCCTCGATCTGATTATATTTTCCGAGCTACCTGGATCCACTAAAACACGTTTTACTTGAATTTTATTTAGATGAATGGAGATTATCAGGGCGTCATTGTGAGTTTGGGATATGTTTTCTGCTTCCTCATCGCAGAATGACAGGACGTCCTCGGGCACAAAGCTCCGAGTCCGCTTTTCTCTTGTGATCGATACTCTTGTGCGCTTGAATACAGGACGTTGGGGGACATCGACTCCTCCAATGATCATGTGGATTAAACATGATGTGGTTCTTCTAGCTCGTTTTTCCTTGCATCTCTCTCCCTGAAGTGGTTCTTGGCACGATCACTTAGAAATTCTCAAGGTGGCCCTCGTTGAACAATCGAGCCACCTCTTCCCTTAGCTGCCGGTAATCTATGGCTGTGCGTACCATGATACTTGCACATCAAGTTCGAGTTTCTTTGAGAGGGATCGGTTTGTATGGCCCTCGGCCACTTGGTGTCTTTGATTTTTCCAATAGCCGATATGATCCCTGATGCGTCCACGCTATTGTTGTACTCTGATAATCTGGGAGCCTCCGTGGGGTCGGTACGTTTATCGAACCCGCTCTTACTCATGAGTCCCCGAGAACTTTGCCCTCGATTGTTTCTCCGATCGCTCCGGGGTATGTTACGGCTCGGGCCGCTGTTCCTTCGGTCGGCATATGGCTGATACCTTTCCCTGTTTGATCTCGAATCCCTGTTCGTGTCCCTTGGGGGCTTGGCCACGAACCTATTGGGATGAACTAAACCCGAGGGGGCTCCTAATTGGTCGTCCTCAACCCTAATTTTTGACTAGTAACGGTTGTGCACATATGACCATGTCACAGCTGGATACTTGATCAAGTTCTGCTTTAGTTGTCGAGAAGCAATTGAGCTTCGCTCGTTCAAACCCTACATGAAGTCCTGCACTGCCCACTCGTCGAAAATCGGCGGCAATTCCATTCTTTCCATCTGAAACCTGGACACGAACTCCCTTAAATCTCGTCGTTCCTTTGTTTTATTTTAAAGACATCCGACTTTCTTATGGCCACCCTTATGGACCCGGCGTGAGCTTTAACGAAGGCATCTGCTAGCATAGCAAATGAATCAATAGAGTTAGGAGATAAGTTGTAATACGAAATCATAGCTCCTTTTGAGAGTGTTTCCCAAACTTTTTCATCAATACAGACTCGATTTCATCATCATTCAGGTCGTTTCCTTTGATCCCACAAGTGTATGAAGTAATATGTTCATTAGGGTCGGTTGTCCCGTTATATTTGGGTATATCGGGCATGCGGAATTTCTTAGGAATGGGCATCGGGGCTGCGCTCTGAGGGAATAGTTTTTGTATGAACTTCTTGGCATCCAGACTTTTCAAAACTGGAGGCGCTCCCGATATCTGGTCAACATGGGAGTTATAAGTCTCCACCTTCTTGTCGTTATCCTCAATTTTTTTTTTCTCTGGACTCAATCCTCTTAGTGAGCTCTCCGAGCATTTTCATAATGGTGGGTTCAGTCCCCGAGCTGTCTCCATTTGGTCCTTCCGGCGTTGGTTCAGCACGTCGATTGTTTTCATGTTCAGCTACACTCGGGGTCTTATTCTGACTTTGAAGTTGAGCAATGGCGATTTGCTGAGCCTACAGCATCTCAACTATTACTTGGAGGCTAACTCATCCATCTCATGCTCCTGGTGTTCCTTGCTCCCCCGGTCGAGCATCCCTGCGTACGCTCCCTTCGGGGTCTGTGCCTAGGTTCGTGTTTATAGCAATATAAGAACGAACATCAACTGGTTCCACATTTGGCACTTCCCCAGGGTTTGACGGTGGCACACCGACCCCTACATTATTGTTCTCACCAAGACCTTCGTTGTCATGAACGGGTGCGTTTGTGAGATAGACATATTTCAACCTGAAAATCAAAGATTCTTGACAAGAAAAAGTGTGAAAATAACGTGTGTAATAAGAATCAGTGAAGAAATAATCACTATTATCTTTAGCCCCACGGTGGGCGCCAAACTGTTTACCTCGAAAATACGAGTAACAATTAAATTTGATTTGTGGTTTTAAAGATATGTGATTTAGTTCAATACCAATTAATGATCAAGAAATATGAAGTAGAAATGAAAGATAGAAGTGAATCAAACCAATATTACTTAGCAACAGTGACCTCGAGACGGTGACCCCGAGGTGGCTTAGGGCAGTAAGAACAATTAAGTATGAAAATCAAAGTAAGAACAATTAAGCTAAGGGACAATTCTGATCAACAGCAGGCAAAAAGTATAGAGTATATTCTTTGTTTAGTAAAACGATGGTCTTACAAATGATTGGGGTTCCCTTTTTATAATAGGGGAACCATAAACAAGGAATATTTCTATTTACAGTAGGGAATATTCTTATTATAGTTGTCTTAAGTGCCTAGTACGGAACTGTCCGATCCTATTCCGGAATTTGCGTCATGATCTCAGGGACGTGGCAGGAATCTAGCTCGCTCTGATATAAATCCATAATGGTATTGTTTCAAGGTCGAGCACACTGGCCTCGGTATTCCTCGAACTTCTGTTTTCGGGCATTATGCTCTTTCTTCGGGCTCGAGCCTGGTCCACCGACTTCGAACTTGACCCCTCCCGGACTTGGACCTAGAGCGGAACCTCGAGCTTCTACACCGGGGGCATATGGCTTTGACAGTATACACTTTTATTGTTTTGAATATATACATATAAATTTGCCCACAATGCACCTATAAATAAACATAACATATATGATAAACCAAAGTACAAAGAAGTACTATTAAAGGATGTTTTCCCCCCAATAGTCAATATTCACGAACCTCAAAATGAAGGATATTCTTTCACAATTTTTTGAAAGAGTATGTTTGTGTTTTGCAATGACAATGAAATATCAGTTAAATAGGCTTATCGTTTATCGGTTTGAACTTGCATTTTTTCCTTCAGATTTTGTGTGACTCATCACCCATATATTCTAATATTACTATTTATATCATTATAAAACATTTGTAATGATTAGTATGAGATGCACGTGCGTTGTCCAACGACTAGTTTATATTAATGTACAAAGAAATCAAAAGAAAGACGGGATCTATTAAGCTCCTCGAACATATTATTATCAGGTCAGACCTACAAGAAACATGGCTGTTGCAGTTGCTTAATATTATCATGTGGTAATACAAGAATATTATCATTGTTTCAGCAATGGGTTTCTTTCAAACAAGTTTGTTGGCTGAAGCTGAAGGAATTTGAAGACTTAGCTATGCAGAATTGATGAAATAGACGATTGAAGAGATAGAGAAATTTTCTGTGTATTGATTCAATTGTCTGTACATGTATATATATACAATCGAGTATTGAATAAAAATAAAGAAAAGGAAAATTACTATTTACACTTGTCCTATTTGTATTTGTCTATTTGCAACAGAAAAATTCTATCCTAACTAATCAATATTCCCTCACGTGACTTTCTGGTGAGATAAGAAGCTTCTACCAATTAAACAAATCAAAGGTCCAGATTTAGTCCATCAGGAAAAGATATGTGGCTATGATTAGCCACTCCAAAGTATGATGTGTGGCTGTGATTTCATAACTCCTTCAAATAAAGAACACCCGACATATATCCTAGGTTATATCGAAATAACCCTAGTTTGGTAGGTCTTCCTTCTCCTTTCCTCTTCTTCATCGTTCAGACCTCATACCTCCATTAATGTCCAAATTGAGTTGGGGTTTTGAATCTCCAACATCCCCCCTCAAGTTGGAGGGGAGTGTAGAGACCCCCAACTTGCTCAGAATCCCTTTATGAAAAATCCCAGAAAGGGGCTTTGTGAGTAGATCGGCCAACTGATCTTTGGATGGAACAAACGAAAGACTAAAATCAAGACTTGTAGTAAGGGGGGATATCCAACGAGAGGGGATAGACTACAGTGAAACTTTCTCTCCGGTAGTCAAGATTGTTGGAGATTCAAAACCCCAGCTTAGCTTTTCCCTCACATAAACACACACATGAACAGGTTATGATTACATTTAGAGCATCTAATTCATCCCACAGCCTCTTACATTTGGTGAAATATCCAACAATTTTACTGTTACCATGTGTTAAACTTGACAACTCCTTTTGCAGGTGGAAAAGTTTGGCTCCATTGGATTTTCCAAATCTTTGTTCCAAGCTCTCCTAGAGTTCCTTAGCTATTTTTGAGTATATCACACTGTCAGCAATCTCCTTTGACACTGCATTTAGAATCCAAGATGTAACCATGTCATTGACACAGCTCCACTGCTCATAATCAGTAGAGTTCAGATCTGGAGCCTTGCAAGCCCCATTGATGAATCCAAGTTTCTTCTTAGCTGATAGGGATAAAAGAATGGATCTCTTCCATCCTGGATGACCTCTTCCATCAAACACAATGTTGACTAGGGTCATTCCAGGTAATCTGAGTTGTTAAGATGATATGGATGATTGATATCATATCCTGCTGCCTTAGGATTGTTTCCAGTTTCTGCAACTGCAGCTATGGTTTCACCAGTTACACTCATCCTCTTTCACTTGGAGTTGAAGGAAAGAGTTTGGTGATTGATGATTGATGTTGGATCGAGCTTACTGCTCTGATACCATGAAGGAATTTGAAGACTTAGCTACGCAGAATTGATGAAATAGACGATTGAAGAGATAGAGAAATTTTCTGTGTATTGATTCAATTATCTATATATATATATATATACAATTGAGTATTGAATAAAAATAAAGAAAAGAAAAATTACTATTTACACTTGTCCTATTTGTATTTGTCTATTTGCAACAGAAAAATTCTATCCTAACTAATCAATATTCCCTCACGTGACTTTCTGGTGAGGTAAGAAGCTTCTACCAATTAAACAAATCAAAGGTCCGGATTTAATCCATCGGGAAAAGATATGTGGCTATGATTAGCCACTCCAAAGTATGATGTGTGGCTGTGATTTCATAACTCTTTCAAATAAAGAACACCCGACATATATCCTAGGTTATATCGAAATAACCCTAGTTTGGTCGGTCTTCCTTCTCCTTTCCTCTTCTTCCTCGTTCGGACCTCATACCTCCATTAATGTCCAAATTGAGCTGGGGCTTTGAATCTCCAACAGGAGCTCAAAACCATCATACACGCTTGGCATTATAGGAAAATCTTCCTGGCAAGGAACATGATGAAATCCAAGAGTGTACCAAAGCACAATATCCTTGCTTTCAATTGTCTTATTCCTAAAGAAAACACAGAATCAATTCATATAATTAGATTGCACAGTGTAAAATAAGAGAAATAACTCTGATCAAAGACAAATCCAGTAACTAATTGATCTTGATTACTCCTAGAAATGCACATGTTGGCACTTTGCAGGGGCACGCTTGAAATGCGTAGCAAAAACGTAGACAACATTTTACCTGCTGCTCCAGATTTCTAAGTTATCATCACCACGGCTCCTATCAGCATAGAATCCTGCAGTCCACCTTTCTGATTTATTGTAAGGGGTCATGATGTTTGGCTATAATTATATATTTTTAGTACATTACTTACCTTATATTTTGGTATTTTAATGCTAAATTGTATTACGTTTATGCTTAATTGAGTTTATTTTATGTGTATGTACTTTAGAGATAAAATTAGGAGCAAAGTAAAGATTTTATGTGTATTTTATACTTTACAAGAATGGATCATAATTATTTAATTATCAAATATACAATGATTAATGTTTAATATTATGAAAGAAGGCAAAAGAAAGAATTGCAAAGAATTGAAAAGTTAAAGTAAAATGAGAAACGAAGCAGAAGTTAGGCAGCAATTGAAAGAACGCCGACTTGAAACCTTTCTCGTTTTAGCGCCAGGGCCTGGACGCCCGGTGCGGGGTTTTCCTACTTTATTCGGGATAAAGTTATTTCAGTCCTACAAGCCGTAATTTGTATAAAAAGGGTCCTAAATCTATATTGGAGGGAGAAGACAATTTTTAGAGTAATTTTTTACCAAGGGAGAGCACAGAGCCGTTGTGGAGGCCGGGTTTCATATTTTCTTCCACCAAACTTAGTAATTTTTATGTTTCTTTGTATGAATTGTTGTTTGGCTACCATGTTTATGTGAGCTAAACTAAATATTCTAGGGTTGTGGTTCTTTCATGACTATTGTTATTCGAATATTGATTTTAATTTCCTAGTTTATTATATTGGTGTATTTATTCAATCTTACGTTTAATTATTTGATTGATTGATCACCAATTGAATACTATCTACGAATCTAGAATTGAACTCGAAAGTGGAAATTCTAGATTGCATATAGGATTGAGTAGAGCAAGTTCTTGAACCTGGGCATCGGGGAACGGATTCGCGGTTAGGATTGACATATACCTAATTGCCTTGCTTGGTTGATTTACAGGAATTAGAAATGCGTTCTTGCTAGTTCTAATTCCATAGACATATAGGCATTAGGTTAGCTTGAATAGGGGAGTAAGAACTCGACAGATTATATATGATGAGCAATATTAACCATGTTAACCATTAAACTAGATAAATTAGTTAGTCAATTCAATTGAAGAATACAATAGGAATGTTACATAGCCCATAACCCTAGATCGTTTTCATCACATTGATAATATGTAGATTTATTTTAGTATATACACACACACAAACACACATATACGTACGCGCGCGCGCGCGCGCGCACACGCACACACACACACACACACACACACACATACATATATATATATACAACAACATATACTCGGTCAAATCACACATTTTGAGAATATATATTTATTTATTTTGAAAAATAAATAAAAAATAATTTAAATAATACCGACCGACTTCGGTCGGATATATTTATTTTTGTTGTCAGTCAAAGCGTTGAATTAACCGACCTACTTCGGTCGGAAAATTGCGACTGCTCGGTCGCAACACCTTAGCGACCATTATTTTTCCGACCAATTAAAAGCGGTTGAAAATCGGTCGCTTTTCCTCAAATTCCGACCGATTTCGATCGGTTTTGGCGGACAAAATTTGACAGTTTTCTGGTAGTGTTGGTAGCTACTTATAGTTAGTTTTTAATTAAGTAGTTCCTTTGCACTGTTAGTGTATAGAAGTTCGAGTCGATCTGGAGACAAGATTTTACCTGCGACTCCAGATTACGAGGCCATCATCACCATGGCTTCCATCAGCGTAGAATCCTCCAGCCCATCTTTCTGATTTGTTGTATGGAGTTACCCACAGGTTATACTTGGTATATGCTGCTCTAATTTGAGGGTAATCATCATCTGATAGTAAAGACATGGATGGTCTACTTGGTATTAGCTTATAACCTACATCATTTCCAACCTTAGTCTTTTTATTAGCATTGACAAACCAAAGTTCAGCTGGCTCTAATCCCAGTCGAGTCTGCGCGTCAACTTCTGTTTTCATAATTATTTTGACAACAGTCCAATAACTCTTCCTTGGTGACATTCTCTGGTCCTTCACTCTTGCAGTTTTCAGTTTAGCTTTGAAGAATGAATTTTTACTACCATCCACATCAAGATCAATGTGGTAAGTGTTAGCCCCTTGACAATGGTCCTCGGCAGGTGTAGGTTGTGACAAGTATTTTCATGATGGACTTGGCACACAGCCTGAAAATTGGAGCAACATCATGACGGGCAGCTCGGCATGACGGACTATGCGGGGCTTGACAAACGCACCTTGAACGGAAGCAAGGTGCATTTCACTTGGACGTGCGGGTTGGCAAAGCAATGGCAAGGCAAAGCCATGTCAAAGCAGGGGAAAAGGCATGGCAAGGCAAGGCAATGCGGGACAAGCAAGGACAATTGATGCGGGCAGATTTAATCAAGTTGGGGGCGACTTGACATAGGCGGACAATTGTGGCAATGAACGTGTGCGGCTAAGTCAGTGGTTGGCGAGCTGGGGCCATAAAATTGGCGCGGAGCAGCGTCAAAGGCAAGGCTGGGCGCAATGCCAGCCTTGGCACAAAGCAGCTGGGCGAAAATAGGCACATGCTGTGCACAAGCAGCAGTTGGAAAACATGTGCCAAGCACATGAGAAGCAGTTGGCGGTTGCAACCTCTTCCAAGATATGCTGATCATGGCCTAAAACATGGGGCACGTTTTTGTACTTTGTCCTAGCATGTTTGCCCATCAGTTGGGGCTTGTCAACTGATTGTAGCCTATAAATATGTGCCTAGGTTGTCTAAAAACGGGGCAGAAAACTTAGTCTAAGGCATTGTGTTAGCCAAAATCGTCTAAGTCATTTTCTAAGGGTAGGAAAATCATTTTGGGGCAGGGAATTAGGGAATTCTTTGCCTTAGCCATATGGTTGGCTATTGTGTTCTTGTATTCACATATTAATACGAGTTGGGAAGAAATTCCTGTATATCGTGTGCCTTTTATTTACTGTTTTTGCTGCCTATTTCGTTCTAAGTTTCAAACGTCCCTAAAATAAAACTAAGTGTTGGAAAGGCTGAAGTCAAGGCTGGGCTTGACTGCCGCACGGAGGTGAACCTCGGGCAGGAATTCGAGTGACATAAATCACCCCTGTGACAACTGGTATCAGAGCGTGGCTGGATCAGGGCGAAGACACAACGTTCAGTGGCTGAATTTTGTGAAGAATGGCTGGTGGCAACACAGAGCTGAAGGAAAAAGTTGCTGCTTTAGAGGCACTCGTCGGAACTGTTGATGGGGATCAACTTCTGACTATCATGACTCGTCTTGCCTATCTTGAGGCCGAGTTGAACAGGCTGAGCCAGGAGTGCACAGATCTGAAAACGGAAAATGGGTTGCTGCATCGTGTTGTTGGCAATGATGAAGCACAGCGTGGGGTAGATCGTACGAGGGTCAGAATTCCGGAGCCTAAAGAGTTTAATGGCGCAAGGAGTGCCAAGAAACTCGAAAACTTCCTGTGGGATATGGAGTAGTACTTCCATGCTGCCAAGGTGCAAGATGAAGACAAGGTCACCATTACGACTATGTATTTGGTGGACGATGCAAAGCTTTGGTGGAGGACGCGCGTGGCAGATGATGTAAGTGCTGGTAGGCCAAAGATTGACTCTTGGGAAGGGCTGAAGAAAGAGTTGAAGGATCAATTCTTTCCTAGCAATGCGGGCTGGATTGCTAGAGATCGTTTGAAGAAGTTGAAACAAACTGGAACGGTCAGGGAATATGTCAAAGAATTCAGTTCCTTGATGCTGGATATAAGCGACATGTCTGAGGAAGACAAGCTGCATAATTTCCTTTATGGGTTGCAGTCGTGGGCGCAAATGGAACTACGAAGGCAGAATGTGAAAGATCTTCCTAGTGCCATCGCTGCCGCGGATGCGCTGGGTGATTTCCGGTTGGGACAAGATGGTTCTGATTTCTCTACTACTTGAAAGTCCAAAAACGGGAACAAGGACAAGGCAAAAGTGTGGAGGAAAAAACGGAAACGACAAGGGTAATGTTGTTGAGGGCAATGGCAATGAAAAGGGAAAGCAATGTGCTGGACCTTCGACAAACAAGGGGCAAAACAGCAAGTTTGATGGCTGTTTTATTTGCAAAGGACCACACATGGCGAGGGACTGTCCAAGAATTGAACGGCTTTCAACGTTGTTTGCTGAAGAAAAAAGTGAAGATGAGCCAAACAAGGAAGAACATGAGCAAGAAACAGCATATTTAGGGCCTATGGTGGTGCTGAAAAATGCGGAAGCTACTTCGTCGAGGACGACAAATTCTTCTGGTAGGGGTGGTTTGTTAGCACCTTGACAATGGTCCTCGGCAGGTGTGGGTTGTGACAAGTATTTTCATGATAGACTTGGCACACAACCTGAAAATTGGGACAACATCATGACGGGCAGCTCGGCATGACGGACTATGCGGGGCTTGACAAACGCACCTTGAACGGAAGCAAGGCGCATTTCACTTGGACGTGCGGGTTGGGAAAGCAATGGCAAGGCAAAGCCATGTCAAAGCAGGGGCAAAGGCAAGGCAAGGCAAGGCAATGCGGGACAAGCAAGGACAATTGATGCGGGAAGATTTAATCAAGTTGGGGGCGACTTGACATAGGCGGACAATTGTGGCAATGAACGTGTGCGGCTAAGTCGGTGGTTGGCGAGTTGGGGCCATGAAATTGGCGCGGAGCAGTGTCAAAGGCAAGGCTGGGCGCAATGCCAGCCTTGGCACAGAGCAGCTGGGCGAAAATAGGCACATGTTGTGCACAAGCAGCACTTGGAAAACATGTGCCAAGCACATGGGAAGCAGTTGGCGGTTGCAACCTCTTCCAAGACATGATGATCATGGCCTAAAACATGGGGCACGTTTTTGTACCTTGTCCTAACATGTTTGCCCATCATTTGGGGCTTGTCAACTGATTGTAGCCTATAAATATGTGCCTAGGTTGTCTAAAAACGGGGCAGAAAACTTAGTCTAAGGCATTATGTTAGCCAAAATCGTCTAAGTCATTTCCTAAGGGTAGGAAAATCATTTTGGGGCAGGGAATTAGGGAATTCTTTGCCTTAGCCATAGGGTTGGCTATTGTGTTCTTGTATTCACATATCAATACGAGTTGGGAAGAAATTCCTGTATATCGTGTGCCTTTATTTACTGTTTTTGTTGCCTATTTCGCTCTAAGTTTCAAACGTCCCTAAAATAAAACTAAGTGTTGGAAAGGCTGAAGTCAAGGCTGGGCTTGACTGCCGCATGGAGGTGAACCTCGGACAGGAATTCGAGTGACATAAATCACCCCTGTGACAGTAAGTAAGGAACTGATCATGGTTAACTGCAACTGTGTTTCCTGCCACTAGGGTCCCATAAACAGTCTGATTTATTTGATTTTGATTCGTGTATCTCACAACCTTCATCTCCGTAACTCCTGTTAGACTTACCTTCACCAACGAACAAAGGAAAAGGTAAGATAAAAATTAAAAGATTAAGGTGAAAATTATTGGCCAGTATCTTAATTCTTACTCCAACTTTAATGGATCCACTTTGTTTAAACACCTGTGGGACCTGATCAAATAAAAAGAAATTAAAAAAAGAAAGGAAAATATAGAAACAAGTTGCAATAATAACTTGTTGTAATAACGGGAGAAACAAAGAAATTCAAAGTTGCAAGTTACAACAAGTTACTGAAACCAAAAGAAATTTTAGACGGTGGCAATTTGCTTAGCAAGTTGCAAAGGAATCGAGCATTCTCATTGGTCCATTGTTGGCAAAGTTTTCCTATAAATATTAGGTTCTATTTCTCATTGTAAACACACCAAAAACAAGAAAGAAGCAGAAAGCTGGGAGTAATCCACAGATTGTAGCATGTGAGATAAATAGTAAGTGTGAGTAATATTGTAGTGAGGTGTTTAAAATAAAGAGTGTTATTTCTTTTGAAGGTGTAGTAGTCTCTTGACACTACCAAGTTGTAATATTATAGTAGTATTATATTACTCCACTCGGGTATTGTATTTTACCCCGTTAAAAGATTTGGTGTCGTTGTTATTGTTATTTACTGTGGATATTATTCCTGAGCAGGATATTATTTTTTCCCAACAACGTGGTATCAGAGCCATGGCGAGTAATGATCCGCTGTCTTTTCAATACCCCCGTCTCACAAAAGATAATTATGAGAGATGGTGTTTACGCATGAAAGCCATTCTTGGGTCCCAAGATGTGTGGGAAATCGTAGACAAAGGGTATGCAAAACCCAATAATGAGGAAGCTCTGCCTCAAAATAAAAAAGATGTCTTGGAAAAGACAAGGAAGAAGTATCAACAAGCCCTCACGCTCATCCACCAATCTCTGGATGATCCCATGTTTGAGAAGGTGGCAGATGCTACTACCTAAAAGGAAGCTTGGGAGATTTTACAAAATTCTCTTCAAAGCATTGACAAGGTGAGGAAGGTAAAACTTCAAACTCTAAGGGCTGATTTTGAAGTTTTAAAATGAAAGAATTCGAATGCATTTCAGATTATTGTTCAAAAGTGAAGGTTGTTGTAAATCAATTAAGAAGATACGGGGAGGACATAGAAAATGTCCATGTGGTAGAAAAGATCCTGCGTACTTTAACACCTAAATTTGATTTTGTTGTGTGTGATTTGAAACAATTGATGCAAAGTGTTTGAATTCTAATGTGCAAGATGAATCATGGTGTTGGTACATGCAATTTGGGCACTTGAATTTTGAAGCACTCAAATCAATGGGAGAAAAGAACATGGTACATGGGATACCGTCAATCAACCATCCAAATCAGTTGTGTGAAGCTTGTCTTCTTGTAAAATATGCAAGGAGGAGTTTTCCAAAGGAGGTCATGTCAAGATCAACCAAGCCGCTCCAGCTTGTTCACGCTAATGTGTGTGGACCAATCAATCCACCTTCCTTTGGTAAAAGTAAATACTTTCTGCTATTCATTGATGACTTTAGTAGAAAGACTTGGGTTTATTTCTTGAACCAAAAATCTGAAGCTTTTGCTGCATTTAAAAATTTCAAAGTACTTGT